AGATATTGATTCATACAGTTTTGTAAAAATAAATAGATAAACACATTGCTTTAGATAGATAATAAATGGTTTACTCTATATGCTAAGCCTATACACAGTAAAGAACAATATTTTCTCTGATTCTTCTTCTCCGATATGTAAATAACTCATTTGAGCATGCAGATCTGTTGCACCTGTTGTCTTTGGGGAAGCTGAAACATGATTGATAGAGTGGATATACTGCAATTTATTTTCAGTTGGATTTTATTTAGCTAAGCTCAGATTTGTTTGAGTGAGGATGAGAATGCTTTATTGTGAAAATACAAGTGAAATCCCCATTAGCACAAAGTTTGAAGGGTACCCAGTAGCTTACAGGGGATTTATACTTCTGCATTCAATCAATCAGTCAATTTTATTTATAAAGCCCAATATCACAAATCACAATTTGCCTCACAGGGCTTTACAGCATACAACATCCCTCTGTCCTTAGGACCCTCACAGCGGATAAGGAAAAACTCCCCCAAAAAACCCTTTAATGGGGAAAAAAACCGGTAGAAACCTCAAGAAGAGCAACTGAGGAGGGATCCCTCTTCCAGGACGGACAGACGTGCAATAGATGTCGTACAGAACAGATCAGCATAATAAATTAACATTGAATTGACGCTGTAGCTACGGCGTAGGCTCCATATCAGTGTAGAGCCTACGCCATAACCTACGCTGTAGCCTGACATGCACCACCCCAGAAATGTAACTACGCGTCTCGGTGACGCCTGTCTGTTTCTGTGAGCTGAAACCATTTCCCTCAGTGGAGCTGGTGCTAGTAACGTGTGTACTTGTGTTTGAAATTGTCTCTATTAAGCCATGTTTAATGTGTGTTTTGAATCAACTAAACTTCACAGACACCTCCGCCTCCGACTAGTGTTTTGCAGGTGTAACTGCAGAGTGACACAGACACACAAACGCATAAGTAAAAATGCTCACAATGACATAGGCGATATGCGTAGACTATGTGTGTAGGGTCTGCGCACAACTATAAATCCCCAATTAGTGGGTAGAGCAGGTGTCACATGTACAAAGGCAATGTCCTTGCCCTTTGCTGCATGCCATGCCCTCTCTCTCCCCTCATACATACTTAAATCATATTTTAAAAAATAATGGAAAGTTACAAAACTTTGTGTATGCTGTCAATTTTCTTTCTTAGAAAGAAAAAAAATGCAGCTCAGCAATTTCAAAATATGGGAAATTGGAATCAACCAAGAAAACTGCTATTGGTGCATCTCTAATTTTATGATCACAAAGTTTTCTGACAAAGTAAACATTCATAAAGGTAAATGAGTGAGTGATCACAGAGATCATAAAAGCCAACAAAGAGTTGTAGTCTTCAGTACACTCTTACACCACCCCAACCTTGTCTGGGTCGTTTTCCAAAGGTTTCATTTCACCCATCAGTACTAAGACGTAACACTCTTGTTCTGGAAAAGCCTGACTTGTTTTGAGTGGAAAAAAAGTCTGCTTCGCAAAATGTAGTGTTGTTGATATGGTATAGTTTAAAAGTCTTTCCAGCCCTGTCATAGAGTCAAGGTGATGTGTGAGTGTGTCTGTTCAGGTCTGGCTTGATTCAGCCTGTTATGATCCTGTAGCAGTGATGAAGAAGTGTACCAGCTCCCTCTCTCTGCTGCTTCTGCTCATTGGTACTAAACCTTTCTTTATCTGCCTCACTTTTTTCATCACTACTCCCCTCCTCTTCCTCCTCTCACACGCACACACACACATCAATTCTTTGTGCAGAACAAAAGGCCCTTGATCTGTCCCCGAGGGCCACAGCACGCAACGGGTTAATTCTGACTTGCCTTGTGTCTTTGTCAGAGCAAAGAAAATGTGTGTGTCTGCATGCGTGTGTTTGTCTGCAGGAGTGTGTTACTGTTATGCTGTGTGCGCTTTAAGTGCCTGTCGCTCCTTCTGTGTGTGTATGTGTGTGGTTTCTTCTTCTTGTGTGTGTGTGTGTGTGTGTGTGTGTGTGGTGGAGTGGGTTGGGGATACATGTTGGGGGGGGGATGGGCACCTCAGGTTTGGTACACAGGGTTTCCTACTTTGTCTGGCAGGGACTAGCCGGACAGGGGGAGGAGGGGGAGGGGGGGTTGAGAGGTTAACAGAAAAGGGGTGTGGCTTAAGGTACCGTCCCTCTGGCTCACTATCTCTCTCAGTGTGTGTGTGTGTGTGTGTGTGTGTGTGTCTCCCTCTCTCTCTCTCCTGTGCCCTCACTGACAGGGTTTCCTGTGGCTGAGTGCAGGGGCGGAGTCCACGGAGATGGAGCGATATAGTCCCTCCCCTCCAGCTTGCAACTCCAGCAACAAATTACTCACCCGCCTGAAATTAGGAATGCGCAATCTAGTGGCCGAACACACACACACTCAGACACATGCACACACACACACATGGCTGCTTATGGCTTCATTTTTTCATGTATCTTACTGGCTGGAAACATGGGTGTCACATGGGTTTGGTCATGTGCAACACTTGCATTGTTTTACAGTAAGTCCATTAATAAACATGTCTGCAGGTCTGTGCAGTGTAGTAGATGAAAAAGATCAAGTACACAGTTTACATTCTTACATTCGTTATAGAAGTCTTAGTATAAGAAATCGCACCACTGAGCACTCAGCCAGTTTTCGCCAACTGGATAATTTGATGACCTTTGAACTCTTATAAAGTGCTTTACAGAGGATTAACAACATATTAACTGCTGCAATAGGAAGCAGATGTAATAACGGCAAAGTAAGAAATTAACTCAGAGGACAAAAACGCTGACAGGTCATTACATAAAGGCACGTCTTGAAGTGTAGTGGCCTGAGGCATGAGGTCGTGTTCAAAACAGAAAGCAGTACTGCTCAGCATGTCAAAATGAATCTTTAAAGGCTAGACAAAGGTATGTCATCTTATGCAATATATTGCCATATCAGCGTAACCCCAACTTGCAATTGTTGACACGGAGGATAAAATGTTTGTCACTATAATTACTTTACAGAGTTGTAAAATCCAGTCTCAGTAGTTTTAGAGTCTGAGAAGCCTTCAAAATCATAGATCTGTTACTTGAACTGGACTTCATGGATCATATTTTGTTGTCTCATCTGCAACCAAAGCAATACACCCCTACTAATGCAGCACCTTGCCTTATTGTCAAACAGAGCTCTTTATGTCTGGTACAACACCTGGTAAAGACAAACTCACAATTGACAACATTTTATGGTAAACTGTTAGACCTGGTGAAATAAACCCATCAATACACTGGTAGATAAAGTTATGACATGGCGTCATCATCACTATGTGAAGCAGAAAATAAGAGAGGGAGAAAGAGATGGATTGGGTAAGAACAAAAGGAGAACTAAAGAAACATTGCAACTACAGACAATCAGTATGTTAACATGAAACTAGAGAAAAATGATTTATTGTGTCAGTCTGACTAAAACTGGACTTTTTAAATACCTATAAACATGTTAGTCCGACTGAAATTGTAACAAAGCAAATTTCTCAAAGTGGGACTAACACACCCAGATAATACAATAAGGAGTTGAATTACACCTGCATGTATGTCAATCGGACCCAAACTGGCAGAGGCGCTCTGCGCATGCTTCACAATCTCTGCCCTAGGCTTTGACCCGGAAGTCCAATAGCATTAAATGTGTAACAAAAGAAGCTCGTAACAACATGAAGAAAAATACATCCAGAGCTGTGCATTTATAAGTAGAGCGTAGAGCATGTACGAAATGTACAGAGCTGTTAAGTTGTCCACCATGGTACCAGTTTGCTGCTAGCTAATCGTAGTTAACTTGTTTGTTGATTGTTTGGTCTGTGACGTAATTGGTCAACCAGAAAAAGGTCCAATACTAACAAGCTGAAAGGGAGCATATCACCACCTATCGTAGTGCAGACGGTCATTCCCTTCCTGTGCTTGTATACTGGGACAAGGACAGTGGTTCAATTAAATGGCCAAGTTGAGCAATATCTGTCACTTGTCTTAACTGTGCATGTAAAGGTACTGAGTCTTGCAATGGGATCACTCCAGCTCAATTACAGCAATCTACAACTCAAGATGATGTCTGCTCAGGGCAAAACGTGGAGGGCCAGTGGCCCCTTACCCATGTCCTACCCCCCTACTTCCTGCCCCCTTTCTACAGCCACATGCATCTTTGAACTTGACCTTCCTTTTGATCTCAACTACACACCTGTTAAGTTTCAGAGCCTGTTGACAGCAACCCAGCAAATATACTTAAAAAGGCCTGTGTAGCAGTTCCTACTGCAGTTGGTGTCACAAGGACCACATTTTGCCATGATGACATAGACAAACACACACTATGTCACTATAGGGTTACGCCATGGTTATGTTACTCAACCAGTGTTGTTGCTGTTGCAGTGACTTGTCAACAAGAGGTGTGCAAACTGGCCATGCTCTTAATTATGCATAACTCTAAGCATTAATAACATTTAAACAGGGGAGGTATAAAAACATGCACCCCCTGTACAGTTGTCATTAATGTGGAAATTAGCTAAAGAGACCAAAACTGTTTTTTTTACCAGGCTGTAAACATGTTTCTTTCTGCTGTAGATTTGAGCATTTTTATATGGAAGTCTATGGGGATTGAGCCAGCCTCAAGTGGTCATTAGAGGAACTGCAGTTTCTGGCACTTCTGCATTGGCTACATGTGTTCAGCCGCTGAGGTTGTTTCCTGGTATTCATCAAGGCATGGGTTTGCTTGATACCTTCATTCAGCCTCCTGTCAATGGACAGACTCCCACTATGATTTTTTTCCCACTTCCTGAATTTAAAAAAGAAAAGAAAAGTCATTCACGTTTTACTCCTCCTGGGGGTATCCTGACCCAGAGGTTTCAGATCAGTCTTTTAGACCTCTAAACCAGCAGGACGTGTTGGAATTCTGTTGGTCCTCTTTCAGTTGGTGACAGTGTATGATGTTTGTCCTGTCAGTTAGGAAAACAGTGCTGATGCTGATGTGTTTGTGTTGCAGGAGAGTTTGAAGAGGAGTCGAAGCAGCCGTCGCTGTCAGAACCACAGAAACACCAGCTAAAACACAGAGAACTCTTCCTGTCTCGACAGTTTGAATCTCTACCTGCGACTCACATACGGTATGTGTTCACTAAGAGCAGTCACTGACAGAGCTGCAGTTAACTCTGAATCCACACACAGTTAGGACTGAACTGCTGAGGAAATGGCCCTTGCTGCAGCCATTCTCAGCTGTTTGTTCTGTCCCTGCACAGGCCATCCCATTTTATTTCCCTGTTAGAAAGAGCTGTTGCCCATCCTGTTAAGCTGGTGATGAATGCATTATAAAGTGATACTATAGTAGACCTACCTAACTGGATATACAGTGGGCATGTCCTCACACATAACATAACTGTCCATAGGTTTGTCATATAAAGTCCAGCCATTACAAGACATGTTCATGAGGCATCATTTAATTAGCCTGCTGTGGGCTGTGCTGTGTAAATCTGAAGTTTAAGTGAAATAGAATGGTGAGGTAGTAAAAAGTAGCTCATTTCACATCAGAGTCCACTGCTATCAACAATGTCTTGGACAAAATGACAACAACACCTTAAAGTTTAATCCAAAACGGTAGCTCTGAAACAAATTCACTATTTAAGGCATAAGTTGATACCTGTCAGAGACGTGTTGTGTCAACTTTAAAGTCATTTTTAAGTTGCAATTTATGGTGTCATTTTCGTAAATTGTACTATATTATTCAGTGTTTTGTTATTCTTCATCTGGCTGCACCAATAACATGGTTGTTGTACTGTCTGAAACTGCTTGGTTCATATTGGCTGTGATGATGATGATTGGGCTGTAGAGAATCTGAACATCCCGGTCTGTGAATGCTCCTCTCTGTCTTTGCAGGGGGAAATGTAACGTCACCCTCCTCAATGAAACAGACGTCCTGGCCGGCTACCTGGAAAAAGAGGTAAGACACCGTCTCTCTTTACTTTTGTATCCATTGATTATCAGTTTTTAGTTTAAGAAAGAGAGACACAGTGAATTAAATGTTGGAAAAAGGCACATTTGTCAAGCAGCTGTATTCTTTTTCTGTGTTCTGTCCAGGACTGTTTCTTCTACTCGTTGGTGTTTGACCCTGTCCAGAAGACCCTACTTGCGGACCAGGGCGAGATCCGAGTGGGCTCTAAGTACCAGGCCGAGATCCCTGACAAGTTAGCTGAGGGTGAGCAGCACGCTTTAAGTTGGAGATACAAGGCAAACAAATGTATTCTGAATTCTAATAAATAGAAATTAAGCAGAAACAGTAAAGAATTGACCCCTCTCCCTCCTCCTCCTCTCAGGTGAATCGGACAACAGGATCCAGGAGAAGCTGGAGACCAAGGTGTGGGACCCCAACAACCAGCTCAAAGACCCTCAGATCGACCAGTTCCTGGTGGTGGCAAGGTAACGTTCCCCTGCTCCCCATCTGTCACTCAGTTGCATCATCATCATCCTGTTGCCATGACGACTTCTGACTGCCATCTACAGGACAGCTTTTCTAGAGGAAATGTGTGAATTGGCATCAAGTTTGATAATCTCATGGGGAAATACGGGTTTTTGTGGCTGATACATGTAACATTTGTTGTTTGCAGCAGCTTCAGAGAGGATTGTGACAGTGTAGTGTTATTAGACTGAGGTCAGCAGTGTGTCAGTGATGTCTGTCCTGGAGGTATTGGAGGTTTTCATTTCAGTTTAGGGTATATACATATTCTGTATAATGTATGCCAACAATTCATACTAATATGCATTTGACGCTGTAATTTAGCAGTGGGATGATGATACCTCTCTCGTATTTGGAGGTGCAGCACAGTTTTTTTATTAAGGAATTCTATAGTGACTTTGGTTTTGGAGGGAATCAGCCTGCTGCCTATAAAGTGGTCCATGAACCAAATACTCCATCTAGTGTTCATTTAAGGAACTTTGAACACTTAAACAGTCCTAATATTTCCCTATAGTACGTGTAGAACAGACAGATGAGTAATAATAACCTGAATAAATTTTTTACAGAGCTGTGGGGACCTTTGCTCGGGCCCTGGACTGTAGCAGCTCCATCCGCCAGCCCAGCCTCCATATGAGTGCGGCTGCAGCCTCCAGAGACATCACACTGGTGAGAACATAATTGACTCTGTGTGTGTAATTGATTCTGTGTGTGTGTGTGTGTGTGTGTGTGTGTGTGTGTGTACCAATAAAATTGCCACATTTCTTATTCACTGTTTGTAAAGTTTTTAAATTCTAATTTCACATTGATTGATTCTGATGGCAATTATATTGTATCATTTCTTGTTAGTACACAGGAGTACAGTGTACTGTATGAATATTATAGACTGCTATAGTAATGGACGTAGCTACTGTGACATCATCCACTGGTGAGTTCAGCACTACAGCTGTCCCCATGTTGGCTTTTTTGAGCCTGAAGTGACTAAACTTGGGTGAGAGGCTGGCACCATGGAGGAGCAAGGGTTGGATCTGACTGAGAGGCTGAGGACACTATTGGCACCCACATGCACCTAAAGCAGCCTGCCCTTAATTGGTTGTAAATTTAGGCCATAATAAAATATAAACATGTGATCTATGGTGACTGTCTGGCTTACAGAGCCAGCGTCAAGTGGCCATTTAAAGAACATGCAGTTTTTGGCACTTTCATATTGGTTTAATTTTTCAGCCAAGGAGGTTACCACTTGGTAAATATACAAAGCAAGGTTTTGGGAATTAACACATTTTATGAGACAAGCTAATAAAATTAGCAAGCTAGTTAGCTAGCACAGCCCACGGTCCCTTTGCCTCACTTCCTGCCCAGGAGACTAAGTCCTGGAGCAAGGTCCATCAGTAAGGGTCCTGTAGCAACACTAATTCAGCTGGAGTAAACCCCAGCGCCACGGGGTATCTGATTCAGTCTGCTCATCTCCCTGCTGGATCAGCAAGCCTTCTGTTGTTGCCATTACACAGGTTAGACCCACTAGCCTGCTGTGACCCCTGGCTGTGTTTAGCAGTATGGATGGTTGAAATCACATGACAAGCCTCTGGTGGTATTATAGTGTATGTATAACATATAATTTCCCCCAAAGGAGGACTGATGTCTATAATGATGAAGCTCTAATGAATCACCTCCTCTCTCTGCTCTCAGTTCCACGCTATGGACACGTTGCAGAAGAACAACTATGACCTGGCCAAAGCCATGTCCACCCTGGTTCCTCAGGGGGGTCCGGTGCTCTGCCGTGATGAGATGGAGGAGTGGAGCGCCTCAGAGGCCATGCTGTTTGAAGAGGCTCTGGAGAAATACGGCAAAGACTTCAATGACATCCGCCAGGACTTTGTAAGCTCTTCTTTGCTGTCACTTGCAGTGTATTTATGTGAAAGCTCAATGAGATGTGATATTATTCCAGGTGTTCACTGTTGATACACACATTTGAATTTTTGTTTTAAACTTCAGTGTGATGGGGAACTGAACTGTCCTGCATACATTGTTTGTTTTCTCTTCTCTCTCAGCTGCCCTGGAAGTCTTTAGCCAGTGTGGTCCAGTTCTATTACATGTGGAAGACTACAGACCGCTACATCCAACAGGTAGGTCAACAGCAAGCCATTAAATACTATAAAGCGCTGTTTGATTTGGGTTTGACCTCTGTTTTTACTGTTACCTATTTTTCAGAAACGACTAAAGGCAGCAGAGGCAGACAGTAAGCTGAAGCAGGTGTACATCCCCACCTAGTGAGTATTGCTGTAAACCGCTACACTAAGTACCCTCTTTGAGTTAGACCTGCGGTCAGAATAACTCACTTTTCTCTCCACTCTCTCCTCACTTCACCAGCACCAAACCCAACCCCAACCAGATCATGGTGCCAGGCAGCAAGCCCGGTATGAACGGGGCAGCAGGCTTTCAGAAAGGACTCAGCTGTGAGAGCTGCCACAGTAAGTACACACTGTGAAGGAAGCGCAGTTTCTGTCAGAAATTGAAAACATTGCTTGGCTCTTAAATTTCTGTCAAGTGACTCTCATTAAAAGTCTTGAGGACTCTGTTAAAATGCCCTCTACTAACACTTACTCTCCTTCCACCAACCCAGCGGCTCAGTCTCCTCAGTGGTATGCCTGGGGGCCTCCCAACATGCAATGCAGACTGTGCGCCTCCTGCTGGATCTACTGGAAGAAGTATGGAGGCCTGAAGACCCCCACACAACTAGAGGGTGCTGCTAGAGCTGGCTCTGTAAGTCTGCTTCCTCCCAGTCTCATCTCACCTGGAGTCATATTTCTTATGTCAGTCAGAAGCAGTGCAGAAATCAACCGTACTGTCACAATGGTTCAGCTTTGATGAAATGAGCTGTTCAAGAGTTGACCTCTCAGAGTGACATGTCTCGATGTATCATGGTGTCCCTCCTTCCTCTGCATCCAGGAGGCAGGCCCCCGCAGTCACATGACACGCCAGGAGGTCCAGGGCATGTCACCGTTCACCCGCAACGAGGGTCGAGCCAAGCTGCTGGCCAAGAACCGCCAGACGTTCATCCTGCAGACCACCAAGCTGACCCGCATTGCTCGACGGGTGTGTGAGGACATCCTGCAGCCTCGCCGTGCTGCACGAAGGCCCTATGCCTCCATCAACGCCAACGCTGTAAAGGCTGAGTGTATGTACACACACACACACACACACATCCACAAGACTCTCACATTTGTGTCCTGAATAATGCATCTTATTCATGAGGTTAGACAAGATTTTGTGTGTGACCACCATATGTAGATTATTCATTCTGTAAGTTCTGTAAAGCTTATTTTTAAACTAATTACAAACTAAAGTTTAGGGTGTTCCATTGGTATCACCTACTCTGGTATTTTATTCCTTGAAATGTGCTGTGTAAATTAGCAGATCAAAATAAGAGGATGAATCTAAACCACCATGTCCACTGGTTTCCTCAGGTATGATCAGGCTGCCCAAAGCCACAAAAACCCCTCTGAAGAGCAAGTTGGTGCCTCGACAGTCACTGGCCAACATAGTGAAGGATTTGGGTAAGAACACATCATGTGGCCAACACTTCTCTCAATCCTCCTGTCCCAGTCTGATTGGTTGCTGAGGAGTGTTGTTGTGTCTCCGCAGCCATCTCAGCTCCTCTGAAACTGAAGGCATCCAGAGGACCCCCGACACCCATCAACAGGAATCAGGCCAGCCAGCCTCGCGTGGGCCAAAGCTTGCTGGGAAAGAGAGGCTTTGACAGTGTAAGTATCTCACACACACACACACACACACACACACACACACACACACACACACACACTACACTGTTTTCACAGCACCGCTGGCTTGTCATTTGATGAAATATGCTTGTATAAACTGGAATTACACATCTCTGGGCTGCATGTAGGTGAGCACACCCAAGAGTCACTTGGATACATTTCTGTTACGCTTTCATGCAGAATGTTTATGTTTGCTTTCATCTCCATTTTAAACCCACCTCCCTCATCAACTTGCTTAATGTGCAGGTCTGCACAACAAATTATTGAGATTTGGGAGATGTGTTTGTGTTTGTCGACCTATAGTTACCCAGAGAACACTGCCTTTACTCGTACTTTACTTGAAAAATTGGCCTTACAAATAAATCAGAAGGTACTTTCTTCACATTTTATTTTTGATATTTTGCCTTTAAAGTCACTGTATGCAACATTCAGAGCATATAGCAGCAAACTGCTGATTGCTTTGTAAAAATATCATAAAGCAAATATTTTATTGATGCCCTTAGGGGGGAATGGGACATTTTACAGTCTTATACTGTATGTAGACATAGAGAAATTATAAGAATATAGAGATAATGATGCACATTATGCTACAATATATAACACAATATGTGCATATAAATGTAAAAATATGAGAAACAAAGTAGAGTAATAGCATCCTGAGCAGTGAAAGAAGTTACCCTCCCTCTATGTGTGTTGTAATCTGAGCTTTTCTGTTGTTTGCTGTAGTAGGCGGTCTAGCCATGTGTGCATGTGAGACCCATGTCTGTATCCCACTGGCTAAATACTCACTGCCATTCTGCAGTGTGCTCATACAGTGGTTACTTCTGATAATACCATCCTGCCCCAGTATAGTTGTAAAAGTGCAGCGCCCAGTCTCCGGTTCCCCCTGGTTAACACTGTTAGCTCTTTCAGTGCTGTTAGCATGTTAACCATAGTTGCTAGCTAGCTTTTACTCCCCTCAGCCTTTAAGAAACCAGCCTCAGCACATCTGTCCTGAGGCTGTTTATACTAGCACGAGACACTGTGGCACGAGCCTCCGTAGATGAGATGCGAGCTATCAACATGCACAGAGGCCTTAATGCTCAACGCATTGCTTGTTGCAAAATGCTCCGAAACGCCCCACACCATACAAACAAAATATCCTGTGGATAAGCAAGAAGTCAAGAAGTGTTGTCAGAAGAATGTTACGTAGCAAAGTAGGCTGCCTGACAACAGTAGTAAACACAGACGTATTGCCAAACATTTCATTAGTGTACTCTAATTATTACTGTCACTTACCTCTAAGCTGAAATGATTTTATATCCCTTTGTTTCACCCTGGGAAGCCAAGTTTTCCACGAGACAGTTTATTAGCTTTTGCAGTGACCTCATGTTCTTCCACACCCTGTAACACAATACCTCTTCTTCCCCAATGTGGTGGCTATTTCTTTCCAGGAACTGAATTGTAAAGCACAGTGGGGGTGTAGTTACAAAATTCAGAGGTGTACGACCAAGCACCATGACAGCATTCAGAGCCTTTGCGCTCAACGCGAGATGGATGAGTACATCAGTTTCTGGCATGCTTGAGGCTGCTCCACACTCTCTCTGACAGGCACATTACAAGTCTCATCACTTGCTGTTAGCCTTTTAAGTGAAACAACATGGTGGATTCACTGTCCTGGTCTTTTGTTGGTTCACAGGCTACAGGGGTGCCCTACCCAGCCAATGGGAGGCCGTATACTTCAGGTATGAGGACCACCTCGCAGTCGGTCATCAAGCGGCAGAAGGTCAGCCAGGGGGAGGCTCCCAACCCTGTGGTGTTCGTGGCTACAAAGGACACCAGGTACAGTGGAAAGTTAAAGGTTCAGCCACAATAATAATAACCCATTAAGTCCACTCAAGCAGCTGGTATTTGTTGTAATTAATATATTCCCTGCTGGTCAGAGATTGGTAAGTCAGAACAACCATTGACAGACTTCAGGTAACAGTTGGGGATGCAGCCATTTAACACATCAATGGGAAGTTTGGTTTGCAGTCAAGGGCTATTTAGTAGCTTTTTCTAAGCTTTCACCTGCAGCGCACTGCCTTCATCAGGAGAGAGTTTGCTGATGAGTCCTGTAGCTGTCACAGTAGATGAATCTAAACTCGTTACAGAGGTCAAAATAAAAGAACTGGATTATAGTAGAGGTTTTAAACAATATTCTGGTGTTGTCTTTCTCCCAGGGCTCTGAGGAAACATCTGACCCAGTCAGAGATGCGTCGGGCAGCGAGGAAACCTCATCTCCTAGTCCGCATCAAACTGCCGCCGCCCCCCCGCTCCCTGGCCATGCCCCTGCTCCCCTCCAGCACCAGCGAACCCATCGTCCTGGAGGACTGAGGGGGAGGGACAGCAGGGCCTTTTAACAGGACATGGGGGTCGGGTGGGAGTCAAGGAGGGTCTGTGCTCAAGCTGTCACTTGACAGGCAGCACAGTACGCCATACCAGTAGTCTTTTATTTTCCCTCTTTCCAGTGTCATTTTTCTTTAGTCCTCTGTTATTTCCCAAAAGTTGATGTGTCCAACACACACACACACACACACACACACACAAGCACTTAAACGACTGTACATTTCCATCATATTAAATACACACATCAGCACACTGACACTCACATCTTGGGCTTTGTAGTATTTTATTCAGATCCTGGATTTTTTTGCTCCCCTTTTCAATACCGCCTGTTTTTAAATGTGTAATTTAAATCAAGATATTTCTCATCCTGAAACAATGGTGACAAAGCACACTTTGTTTTTCCTCCACGGCTCTATCTTTGTGTAAATATATGCACCATTAAAGGGGTGACACCTGCAGTATGTGAGGAGAACGGGGGGTGGGGAGGTGGAAAGGGGAGAGCTGTAGCTGGCCGAAGGTCGAATTTGATTTCACTGATCCGCTCTGCTACTCCATTAATTGTAGATCATTGACTGTATGCTCATGTGCAGTGGTGAAGTTGAGACTTGTTGACAGAGCTGCCCTCTGTCAGCGTGGACTCAGTGTTTGATTCATTTACTGCAAGTTTTCTTTACTGAGTTTGTAACTTGTCGATTTTCCCATCATCAGCAAGGAGACAAATACAGCCTGTCACAGGGGTTAATGAATCCTGACGGGTCGAGTCCTCCCCTGCACCTCAGTCCCTCAGTGTCAACAGTATTGAGTGAGCACAAAACAGCTTGAGTAGTGAGAACGTCAAGGTTATGTGTGTGTGTGCAGAGACAGAATAAAAGTGTAGACATAGTGGTAATAGAATAGATTTAGTGGGCTGTTTTTGGGATTGTTGCAGCCTTTTAAAAAAAATGTTTTCATGGCATCTTAAAAAAAAAAGAGATTGCGATGCTAGTTGCAATGTTATAGGCGTTCTTGTGCAATGAAATTTCGGGGCAAGACAATTCAGCTGTTGATGCCAGTGGACGCAGCAGTAAAGTACCATTTCCGTGAGCCGCTCTCCTCCTGCTCTCTCAGCCTGGTTGGCACAAGCTAACACGGTACACAGTGATCTCATTCCTGCTCACCATTTTTTGCCACTTGAGCAGAAGCCTTGCAGCAGCAGGTAGCATCCAAAACTAAGTTGTTAATCTCACACCGACACCAAAACGGTTAAACGCTGTCATTAATAACAGTTTGCTAATGTTAGCCATGTGATGCTAACAGTTTGCCCTGTCAATGTGTGTGTGTGACACTCTGTTCTACAGAGCTCTGGTCCTGCAGCAGTAGTCTCATGATAAACAGAAAGAAAGTAGGGGTTGAGCGAGTCATAATGCTGGAAGCAGTTCTACAATTAAATGAGGTTTTACTAGTTTTAAGAAGTCAAATTTGTGGTAAAGTTGCTGTGATTGGACAAAAGTGCAAGGTTGCGCAGAATTCACAGGGATTGGCTGTAATTGTTGTTGTGATTGCAACATTGTGGAAAGAACTGGAAATCAGTGTTCTGACAGGTTGTATCACTCATACAAAATCAAAAATGCCACCCAGTGCCTTTTGGGTAACATCAGTGTCAAGGCTGCAACTCACCGTTATTGTCAAACTAATCTGCTGATCATCTTAAAAAAATTTAAAAAAATATATAAAAAATTCAAAGCCAATCACAGTTTTCCAAAACCCAAGGGGTGTCTTCAAATTGCTGTTTTTGAGCAACCAATAGTCCAAACCCCAGATATTCAGTTTAGTCTGACTGAATCAAATAATGAGTCATCAAAATTGTTGAAGTAAATCCGGTCCTAACAGCCACATCATGTTAACCTAAAATTGTTGATAATCGCCAAAAAGGTGGAAAAATGAACCAACTTTCTATTGTTTGTACAGCCTGAACTGAATCCTGGCTTAACTGCTCAGATTTTTGTGCTCATTTGATAGTTTTGTCACTAATAACCTTCCATACCGTCTCCATCTTCACCAGGCTTAACAATATCCTTCTTCAAAAACTGAATAAGGGTTGTTGATGCAGTCAAGCCACATTTCGTCTCCTGTCACTTCATGCTTTTATAGCCACTTTTTGTCCATTTGAAGAGAGAAGTTCCCTGGCTCCTGTTCTCTTGGCCTCACCCTGATACGTTTGAACAGGCTGTCTGGAATCTAAGGGGAGAGGATCATTGCTCAGAAGAGTCTGTAGGTTTACAGTGTAGGAGGGATCATATGTAGTGTTTGAGGAAAATCTAATGATTGTGGTTCCCATGGTTTTGCACGAGTTACTGCGTGACTTGCCATGATGAGAGAAAACATTTGGCTTTGAGGTACTGTGTTGTCTGCAAAAGTCCAAAATGAAGCCATAATGTGCAAAAAAAGAAGGAAAAAAAAAAGGTTGATGTCTGTTCTCAGTGAGTGAGTGGACACTTTTAACCCCGGGGGTAATGTTAAATTGAAGCCACAGCATTTCTGACAATGTACTGTTTGGTTGGTTTGAAGGAAACTGACACAATTATGTTACTGGTCAGTTGATAGAAGTCTGTTAAAAACACAGCAATATGTAAATGTACAGAAGACAGTTGGGGCCAAAAATTAAGTTCTGAAATAATGTGAGAAGTTGCAAAAAGAGTTAAAGTCGTATTTTTTTCTCCAAACAAGAATTCATTCAGAACTTTTTTTATATGGCCTTAATCCTCTTCTGTAAATGTCTAATGATGCAGAACAGAATGATGTTTTTGATTGTGATTGGGTATGATGACAATGTGAAAGGAATCTTCAGCTGTCTCAATGTGCTTTCATTTCCTTTTGTTTATTTTGGTTCCCCCTGTTTGTACCGTAATGAAAGGGTGAGTACTAAAAGCAAGTTGTCAATTGGATGATTATAATTCCTGTGAATCCCCACAGCACTGAGGGTTACACCGGGTTTATAAGCAAGTTTGGTCCCAATGTGGGCTTTGTAATATTTCTCAAAAAAAGAAATTTGAAGTGTTGAGTTTGTAGCAAATACTAATCTGTGTAAAGACAAGTGGAAAACTGGCATATTTTAAACTTTTTTACATCTAAAGTGTGTAATTCTGCTCCATTATTGTGGAGATGGCTCTAATAGGCTACTGTACATGTGAAACATTGCTCTCCTTCATAGGGTGGGTGGGGTGGTCATTTGAACCAGGGGCGACATTCAAAAGGGACAGGGTGCTGATTTTTGTATGATGGAGAGACAAACATGCTACAACTGAAACTTTTTCTCAAGTGTTTTTTATTCCAATGTCTCTGTATCCTTTAATGTATCTTGATAAGAAAAGAAATAAAGAATTTTTTTTTCTTCGTGGTCAGTCATGGGCTCTTTCTCCACTGTGTTCACCAAATTGCCAGCATAGAGGAATCTGAGCTCGGGTCCTTGGTAGAGCTGAGTGTCAAACTCTGTGGAATCAAATTAACTGTCTTTTCACAGAGTATCAAAAACTGCCAATTACAGAAAGTTGGTGGTAAATACTTGGTTTCTTTGGCTTATTTATTTATTTGTTGATATTTCCAAATTGAAATATTTATGCTAAGTGCGATATGCTAAGTATTGCTATAAAAATATTGATATATTACAATTTATTACCTTTTTTCCAACTGTAAATTATGTCCCCAAAGCTTTGTCAACATCTGTTTTATCTAATAAGATAAAGCTTTCAGTCTGTTAATTTCTGTTGACTTATATAATTTAAAAAATTGATACTTTGCACTGTTAGACGATACAATAATGTCAAAGCATCTGAGCTATAGTGCTACTTTTAAATGTAGGAATTAAGATTTGAGAGAACATTATGTCACATCTTAGCAGTAAAATTGTATGAATTTGCAGATGGTGTGCAACATATGCCACCCTTATCTGTATATCAATTTGCATGCTTTGTTTGCTTCCATACATTTCTTTTGCGAAACTGATGAAAAAATTAAACTCAAATTTTATTTAAAGTTTTTAACCCTCAAGTATTTTTACAAAATTGACTAAATGAGCCCAAATGAATAAACTAGCAGAGTGAATTTGAAGTGTTAATTATTTTGTGGCCACTTGGGGGCAGTGGAACTAACTGAAAACAAAATCAGCACTATGGCCTTATAAAGCTGTTAAGACAAACATTACATATTTACACATTCAGCAGACACAAAGTAACATTAGCAATCATTTAAAGTCATGATTCTGGTCAATTAACGCATGACAGTCCAATATTCACTCCACTTTTAGCTCTGTTTTTGTTCTCCAGAGTAAAATATGTCTCTTTAGCTGCTGAATGCCCATAAAGCCATGAGAACTGCACAGTTGTTGATAATTCTTTGTGGAGTCATCAATACGAGCAGCACATTACACATAGTCCTTTGATTCTTTGTTTATCTAAGTATATTGGTTTGTGTAACTTTCACAGACAGAAATCACACCACTCACAACCGTGAATCCTAGTAGATTAGGAGCTGGCCTCAAAAACTGTCTGTCGGTATGTCCCATCTCACCCTGGGGACCCTGCTGCTCCATCAGAGTGTGATCTCCTTCACACCATGTTGCTTCGCTGCGGATCCAGTTGTGTATAGCTGTTGGCAAAGCTCACATGACTGCTGGGCAGGAGGGCAACCTGCTGCAGTCTGATGGAGGTGCCACTGGGGCACAGACAAACATAAAACCAGGTTACAGAGGAACACAGTCAGTGTCCTGAAGTGAACAGGTAAGAGTCAAGAGTCTTTTGAAATTAAAACTTTTCTCAGAATCCTGAGATAATAATCTTGTTCATTAAAAAAAAAAAAAACAAAGACGAAAAACCACGTTTACCCTTGAAAACATTTCTCAGACATAGGGTTCCTGCTCTGGGCTTGGTTGACAAAATCTTAAACAAAGATTAGCCAAGCTAAAGGAAATATTTGTCTATCTGTACTCAGCTGTGTCTCAATCAGACGGCTTTTAATTAGAAGGTTGGTTTAAACTACTTCCGACTGAGGTGTTAATTTCAACAAAGCTGAGGTGAAGCCGAGGCACTCACCTTTAACACTGTATTCACTCAGGGTGTTTATTGAACCCTGTGATAAACATCTGCTGCTGATAACCAACTCACTGGAAATGACAGTAAAGAATAAAAAAAAGCAATGAAGAAAAGAAACGTTTAGGTGCTCGAAACAACGGCGTGTAGGCTATTACTTCTAGTGTCCCACACAAGCTCCTGTATTTCATCATAAATGGATACGCACTGACTGGATTCAGCTTTATATAAATACAAAGACATTAATTTTTTTTTATCACAGCTGCTAACAGGAGTGATCCGCTAACAGGAACGTTCCCCGCACGTGGACGTGATTGGTCGCTCGAGACACGCTTGTGACGTTGAGTTCGAGCACACCTGATGCTCGTTAGAAGCGGAAGGCGGGAGGTGAGAGGAGGTTTAAAAGACAGACGGAGAGCACTGGTCCTTTGTATGTGACTCAGTACCAGAGCAGGAGTGTAGAGTCCATGCCACTCTGATAACTAACACACTGGAGCCCAGCAGGCCGCCTGGTACCCATACACACGTCCTCGAGCTGTTTTCTGCTCCTACATCCTCACAGGAAACCCAATCTGTCTGCAGCCATGTTTAAGGTAAGTCAAATATCGTCCTCGACAACGCTGCTGTCTTTTTACACTCACCTGTTGCTGCGTAGCTTTTTAGCCACACATTTGGTGAAATATTGTTAAAATTAGCATTACGACATTTTCAGACAGGAGTGTATCTATTACCTGTATAAGTCGCTCCACCTGTAGGCACTTGGTAGCCTACATATTTATGTGGTGTTAAAATAACAGGTAGATTCGTTGCTTTATCTGTGATTTGCATTTTATTTGCAGGGATTTTGTATTTCAATTAACTTAAAAAAAAACCTTCATCAAATACAGCTTTTTTTGCGGTGAAAGAAGCCTGAAGGTGGATATGGTGGATGAACCAATAAGCTAATTACTGATCACTTTATTTTGCAGAGATGGCCAAATGAAGCGACATGAACGGTTTTCTTTTTTCTGATCCCACTAGATAGCGCTCTTGGTTTTTACAGAGGCTCAAGGAATGGCAAATTGGTGTGTTTTCAATGCTAACATAGCGCCCTCTAGTGGGCTCAGAAAATAAAGTGGTTCAAGAGGCTTCATTTGGCCAGTGCTAGTATTTAGCACTCTGCTCTCAGATAGCTTAACAATTCAAACATTAAAGCAGGGAGGGTTTTGATTTTAAAGGAATACTTTTACCACAAAATGACAATTTGTATCAATTATTCATTCCATGTTACCTTGAATTAGTGAACTTTTTTGTCACATGCCTCCACGATAAATGGAGAATCCGAATTGGAAAGAATGCAAAGAATATCACTGAGAGGCCGTTTACACGTTGCCGGCTATTTTCATAAACGGACATTTCACCGTCTCCGTTTTCAAAAAGATCTTCGTTTACACTTACCCGTGTATATATACACAAGAGCATGCCAAACCTGTAGGTGGCAGTGTAACGAGAAACTCAAGCCTTCCATGTATCCATTGTCACCATAGCAACATAGGTCGCACTTTTTACACAGGCGCAAGTTCTGGCGCATACTGTGACGTCGGCTGCCTATAACTCCGTTTATCTCCGTTTATCTCAGTTTACATGCAAACGCGCAACCGGAGTTTTCCAAAATCTCCACTCTGGCCGGAGTTTTTAGAAAGACTCGTTTTCAGAGGAGAAATCTCCGTTTGCGTGTAAACGAAGGGCACAAACGAAGGAAGATGTCTCCGTTTATCAAAATCACCGTGTACGTGTAAACGGCCTCTGAGAGTTTGGTTTTTAAATGGATACTTCACACACAAATGACCATTTGTATTTCAATTAAGGTGTGTTACCTTGAATTTGTGAAGAAAAATTTTCACATGCCCCCACAGTGAACGGAGAATCCAAAAAGGCAAACATTCTTCATGAATTTAGTTTAACAGCAGAACTATATCTTAACATCTCTTTACAAACACTCACTCAGCTTGTGTTGTATGATGAGTCTCATTTAGCCAGTCGTATACTCAGTACTCCAAAACAAACGTATTTTCTCTAAACCTTTTTTAAATTAAAACTGACACTTATCTATGCTCTTCAACACTAGACGCCAATACTTAAAGCTTTTTTTTTTTTAGTACAAATGCATGTGTTCAGGAAGTACAGAGCATATGACTACATTAATGACTCTGATTATACTGCACCAGCTGAGTGAGTTTATAAACACGTTTTGATAGTTTTGCGGTTAAATGTGGTCCTAGTTTAAATTCCTGAAGAATGTTTGCTGTTTTTGGATTCTCCGTTCACTGTGGAGGCATGGACAAAAGGTTTTCACATTCAAGGTACCACATGTTGAGTAACTGAAATACAAATGGGTTATATTGTGTGAAGTATTTCTTTAAAATCAAACCTTAAATCTTTATCCTTTTGTTTTTTTGTGTGCGAGAGTTTCACAAATTCAAGGTAACACTAATATATTTAGAAACAGTCATTTTGTGGGCTAAGTGTTTAATAGCAAGTAATGTGGCAGATACTGTCTCTTAAATATGGCGAATAAACTCCAGCAACTTAAACTTTCAAAAAGATGAGAAACCCTCAGAGATGAGTTTGGTTTCAAAAGCTAGTAGCACAGAGTCTAACCCACACGACATTAGAGTTGTGTCAAAGCCCAGTTCACTCTTTAACTAATTTATATAACAAACCCTCAATGAGTTGCTTTATAGTGACATTCTGGACACCTATGAACTCATTTTGTCATCAGTTGTACATGCAAAAATGCCACATTGCATTGTTGAATAATTGGCTATGGTTCTTTGTTTGTCTAGTATGTATGTATGTATGTGTGTGTATATGTATATGTATATGTGTATGTATGTATGTATGTATGTATA